GGGCTGTGTTTTACTCATATTGGCAGCCCTGGCATTCCCGCCACACAGTAGATGCTCTGTAGATGTTTGCTGAATGGAATTGACAAATGGAGGCACATTTTAAAGGTCTGGTCTTTCTTTTAGAGAGAAGGTGCGCCCCTGTTAAAAAAGCCCAGATCTCCAGAGGTCCCTATCTCCTGTTCTTAGAGGGCTCCCCAGTTCCTTGCCACTGTGTAAGAGGCCTCAGCCAGCTATCCACCTATAAAACTGCCCCAGCTTCCCTGAACAGCTCAGAGGTGAATTCCAGAAAAGAGATGGGACTGGCCTTGGGGCAGAGGTCCTGAGAAGGGGATGAGGGAATAATGTGGCTTAGGAACCCTCAGGAAGAGAAGACATTGCAGCAGAGAAAGACAGGCGACTGTCCAGGGGTCCCCTAAGTGCCTGAGACCAGCTACCTCCTGAGGGGAATAGGAACGGGAGCGACCTGCAGAAGCAGGGCCCAAAGGAAAAAGAAGAACAGGAGGGGCAGTCGAATTTGCTTTCTGCTTCTGTATTTTGGGCTTGAATTTCAGGCAACACTCTGGTCTCTCAGGCTGGGATGAGAACTGAGAGAAAGTAGTAACTACTGAGTCTTCAGTCAGACCTCAGACCAGGAGCTGGAGGCAGTGGGGGGTGTTTCCCAAGGAGACTGGCACAGATGGGAAAGTCCCACGATGGGGGTCCCTTCTTTAAAAGGCATAGAAAACAGGCCCACACCTGCTGGTTTATCAGTTCTCTACATTGCAAAGGGCCATAGAGATTCTCAGACAAGTGTGCTCATTCTGGTCACCTCTTAGAATCATCTGGAAGGATTTAGAACACCCAATGCCCAGGCCCAGCCCAGCCAATGACATTAAAATCTCTAGATGGGGCCTGAGCACAGGTATTTGTTAAAGCTCCCCTGGAAATTCTAATACCAATGTCTGGACACATGGGGTCTCCTATGTCCTCCTGGACCGATGACCTTTGTTGCATACCCCAGGGTGCACTGCCCTGTCTTGGGAGCTACAACTCCACTGTCAGGGCCTGAGTTGAAATGAAGGAGATATGGAAACGCAACTCCCAAAGCCTCCTTCCCCGAGTCGTGCAGCCCTCCTTCCCTGGAAGGGAGGCCACAGGCCTGGGGAAGATGACAGGTCCAGGCAGGGTGTGCTGCAGGCAACTTGTACTGTCACACCACCTTCAATGGAGCCAGTGGCTAAATTTTTAGGAATTTTTCAAACCAGGTGTTAGATAAGCCAGTATTAAAAATTAAATTATATCAAGTTGCAAGCAAAGCTGGTATATACCCAAAACTGATTGCTTCCTAACTGTTTATTACTTGTTCCTATTGTCTGTACTCCTGAGGTCGCTCGCGTTCATTGTGTCTGCACAGGGGAGGTGTCACATGCTGGGCTGCTGCTGCGTATTCCTTTCCAACTCTGCTACAGGGACGCCATGTTGACAGCTTGAAATCAGCTTCAGAGGGAGAGTTTATATCACAGATGTGGGTGAATGCTACAGTCGAAGTTTTTTTCTCCAAAGAGCTGATTGTTAAACATTTATCAGCACACCATGGGGTGTGCATGTCTGTGGTACAGGGATTCTGGGAACGGGGACACAGCCATCTCTGCAGGACTACTTTCCTGACAGTGGTGAGTGTGGAATGCACTGATTTTAGGTCCCCGAGGTCAGTGAGGCCAGTTAAGTGGCAGATGTGGGCCCAGTTGTCACTCCAGGCAGATGGAGGGAGGGCTGGGGTACAAATCTCACTCCTGATGACAGCCGTTGAGTGGGAGGTCCGGCATCAGACGCAGTAGCAGTCTGGGCATGAATGGAGGCATAACGGCAGGCCATACGTCTACACTGATAGTCGCGTAAGGGGTAGTGGGAGGCAGAGAACGAGGGGTGGATGCCACCCAGATCCACCTGGCAAGCAGGAAGCTCAGACTCTTGCTGAGACCAGTCTTATCCCTGCATCACCTTGCAATCCCAAACTCTGACCCAGGAGTTCCTGCCCATGCAGCTACAGCACCCAGGCCAGACATAGGCAAGCACTGTTTGTGATGAGGTGCCCGAGAATGGTGCCACTCAGGAACAGCAAGAGACCAAACAGAGTCCACTGACCAGTTAGTGGAAGACCAGCATTGTCCTCACTATCTCATGTTCCTCATGGTGCCCAGAATGAGACCTTGGACACAGTAGGGATCTAACTAATGATAACAATTAGCAAGGACCAGGCTGTATGCATACTAACCAATTTGAGCCTCTTTAACCCACATACCATTATCATCCCCATTTAACAGATAAGGTAAGTGAGGCATAGAGGATAAATAACTTGCCCAGAGTAAGGAGGTGATGGAGCCAGGATTCGAACCTATGCAGGCTGGCTCCAAGTCTATCTCTTAGTCGACCACTCCCACCCCGCTGATCAAGGAAGGCAGTGTGAAAGGCCACATGAAGACTGAGGAGACATTGGGGTGAGCTGGGGTGATGAAGTCACAAAGACTTGGCTCAGCAACTTGCTTGCTGAATGACCTTGGGCAGCTGTTCATGACTCATCGTGGGTTGTCGTGAAGTTTTAAAAAATAAAATTAAAAAATGTGCAAAGGGCCCAGGACACTGCCTGGCTCATCGTTGCTCATATTTGGGGGCTCATGGTGTTATTGCCAGGCTGCAGGGACCAGTTCAACTTCACCAACACCAGGGTGGGAGTCAGGCCAGGCACCCCTGGACCTCATCTGGAGCAGGATGGGGCTGGGCTACATGATCCCTGAGGTCCTCACCAGCACCACTATCCTCTGCCTCTTTGACTAAAACTGGTAAAGGGGGTGATTTGAGTGTCGGAAGAGACTGGATGTGCTTTAAAATCCTGTGATTAATGTTTGAAAAGACACACAAAATAATAATTATCCAAGTATGGTGGGGAATTTTAGATTCTTTCATTAACTTGACAAAATTGCCAATGAGGTAGGATTCAGAAACATGAAACAACTCAATTCATTCTCGCTGATGGGACTCTGTAAGGACAGCATATCCTTCCCAGAAAGATCCAAATGAGAAAGCAGCAGAGACAGGCTCAGTTGCTCAAACTAGCCCAGTCCAGGCTTGAAACCTTAGCCATGATCCTCTTGTTACCGCCACTTCTAAATCAACCACAGGACAGGGCTCAAGAGAGTCGCAGAGAAGTGACACCAACAGTGGCCACCCCTACCAGTCAGAGAGGGTGAACCATGAGGTAGTGTGTGCAGGGGCACCAGGCCTTGCCCTGTGGATGGGAAATGATCCAGGAGTCAGACGATAGAAAAGGCTCCAACTGGAGACTGTGAGAGGATTCAGGGGGAAAAAAATCAATGTATAAAACCAAACCTCATGGTACACACCCAGAACATGGTGTCAACACTACCATCCAAAGCTGCAAAAATGGATTTGAACCAAACCTTATGTGTTTACACACAAAACTGAGAGCCCCTCGAGGGCAACCTCTACTTGTTTGTGTCTGTCTCCCAGCATCTTATCACCGCATTGGCACATCCCAAGCATTCAGTGAGTGCCCAAACAAATGAAAAGTTGGCAAATCCTAAGTCACCTTTGCTAAGTCACCTGCCTGGGCTTCAGGAAATTACCAGAGCCTGATAAATCAACCTCGTCTAATGGGAATTGGAGTGGCTTCTGAGCTCTCATCAAGGCCCAGAGAAAGGTCCTGTCTACAAATGGACTGAATTAAAACTATAGCACCAGTCTCTAGTTGCGTACAGAAATGATTTTAATATTATAGCCCCAAGTCGGGGGCAGAGGCTCACACCTGTAATCCCAGCACTTTGGGAGGCCGAGGTGAGAGGATTGCTTAAGCCCAAGAGTTTGAGACCAGCCTAGGAAACATAGTGAGACCTCGTCTCTACAAAAAGTACAAAAATTATCTGGGCATGGTGGTATTCGACTGTAGTACCAGCTACTCAGGAGGTTGAGGGGAAGGGTCACCTGAACCCAGGAGGTCAAGGATGTAGTGAACTATAATCATGGTCGACAGAGTGAGTAATATATATACTATATTATATATAATATAATATATATATATAAAACAGCCCCCGATGTCTAACTTTTTCTGCTTCAAAACAACCCAAACTTCATGCAAAATTCACTTCTTTTCTTTTGCCATCTGTTCTGTTTGCAGGAGAGAGCATGTGTTTTTTTCTCCCATTTGGAGCCCCTGACTGCAGAACTCTCCATTCATTCATTCATTCTATACAGATGTACTGATACTGTGCAGATTGCTTCTCAGACCCAGTCTCTGCAGCCATAAGACAGTCTCACCCCCTAGGAGAGGAGGTTGGGAGTGGAAATATCGGACACTTCAGGAGAAAGGGCCACATTGGAAGGGAACAGTCAGACTTTTATCTTAGATATTTGGGGTTTGAAAATATCCTGAGAAAAGAAAGGTAGTGTAACCTGCATTTGAGAATGCTGAAAGCAAAGCAAGCACTAAGGGCAAGAGGCTGGGAAGTTTTCAAAGTCATAATCCTGGGAGGACAAAGTGAGATCAGTGAAAGGACCGACCACAAAGTCAGGTGCCCATCTGCCTTGCCTGGTTTCCTTCCCTCCATTCAGCAAACACTCCTATTGACCGAATTCTGGGCGCCGCGCAGTGTTGGCGACGGGAAAGACCGCCCTTTCAGGCCCTGCTCTCAGGCTCTCCAAGAGCTCCAGGCTGCCTGCCTCGGCGTCTCCAAGCACCAGACCCCACGCCGTAGCTCCATCCCCACCCCCCTTCCCCCATCACATCCACGCGAGGTCCGGGTTATCTTGGGATGGTCCCCTCGACAGGGACCGACTTCCTACCAAGGAGAGTCTGGGAAGCGCCCCTGCCTGCTCCGAAAGAGCAGAAACCCGGGAAGCCACCGAGCCAGGGCGAATGTGGCACCGGGGATGCCTTCAACCCCAAAGTCAAGGTGGAGAGGGTGGATTTGGACACTGAGGAGGGTGCTTGCGGGAGGGAGCCTTACCCGGGCATGAGGCCGGGGGGCACGTAGGCGGCATTGAACTCGGTCAGCAGGGTGCCCGCGCTGCGGGAGGCCATGGTGGGTGCCGCGAGCGCGCAGCGAGCCCCGGCGCCTGCCCAGCTCTGCGGTAAACAGCCGGTGGTCACCTGGCAACGGCGCCTGGCGACGCTAGACGGACCAGCTGTCCCCGCGTTCGGGGCGCTGCGCCCTCTCCCTCCCCCTTCCAGCAGCGGTCCCACGGAGGCGCCCTGAAGATGCCCTTCCATCTCCACGTGCTGTGCCGGGTGACTCCTTAAGTCGCCCTCGCAGGGGCTTTGCTCTCAGTGCACTGCATACCGGGGTGTGGAGCGACTCAGAGGTCAGCGCAAGAGTGCGTGGAGGCCTCGCTGCATCTGGCCTGCGGTGACCTGTCATGGACCGACCCCGCGGCAAAGGACAGGCTGGGCTTGAGTTTAGAGATCACGCAGAAAGCAACTGCCCCACTGCAACTCAGGCCCAGGAACCCGCGTGGCCACAGGGTCCCAGGAGCCATCGCCCTTCCCTCCCTCCACAAGGGTGCCCGCGGTGCTCCTATTCCGTGGGGGCGCCAGGAATCGGCTCTGCAGTGGACCCCACGCAGCGTGGTGGTTGCCTACATGCTCTGTAGTTTGTGTGTGCCTGTGTGTGTGTCGGGACAAGGGGTAATTTTCTTCAATCTGCCCCGGGGAACTTCCTTTTCACCTCATCTTCCCCCTCAAACTACTCCACAGGAATCGTTTAATAAGTAAAAGGCAAAAAGCAAATCATGAAAAATCCAGGCGTGTGATTTACATGTGTCCCAAATTGCGCAGTTCATGTTGGCCCTCCAATCTACAGGGGTGGCATTTGGTGCCCCAGAAGGCAATCCATCTCAAGGCATAACACTGCCTTCCTCCACATGACGATTTGGAGCCTTCACATCTGGGTTTCCAGTGCCTTTCTCCTTGGGCCATGTGTAGGACAGAGCCAGGGCCCTGGGTTTGTAACTGGTGGGGAGTTTTCAAGGTACCAGCTTTCTGTGACTTGGATCCAGACCCTGGCTCCCCAGGCTCCCTGTACAGCAGTGCTGGCATCACCAAGAAGGCCTGCAGTTTCCCTTCGTCTCCAGTCTCATTTCTTCCCCTCAAATGCTGATGAAGAAAAGTGTTATCTTCACAGTTTGACTCTGTAAGTGGCAACTGATAAAGACCATAAACACTAATGAGTTCACAGGATGCGGCTGCAACCAGAATTCTCCAAAGGCTTTCTCTGACAGATGACAATGAAATTGAGGGAAGTCACAGGCTTCCAAGAGGCTCAAGAAGCAGGAAGACTGAGGCCTGGTGGGGAAAGTGCTGCAGATAAATGAGTGTTTGCAAATTCTGGGGAAGAAAACTCCATCCGTCTTTTAGAATTGCAGCTATGTCTGTATTTTTCTAAATTCTCCTTAGGGAACATGTGCTACAATTAGAAAAAACATCAGTAAAAGTTGGTAAAAGAGCAGCCCTCAGTTCAGGGGTTGCCTGCTACAAAAAGGCTTTCCAAATGATCCCAACCCCAATGAGGTTGGGCACCCACTCCTGGCTCCCAGTTGTGGCTTCCCAGCTGTCCCTACTCCAACACCCTGTGCTCCACTTGTCTGCTTGCCTGTCCATCTGTCTCTCCTGCTTGGAGTCTGGTACCAAACGTATCAGATTCATTCTGAGTTCCAGCACCTGGCAGTGGAAAGAATTCAGTAAGCATTCATTTAGTAAATCATGCACTAAGAGTTACCAAAATGGGTAATAGTCAGGAAAATGGAAATGTTAAAGTGGCATCTGGCTTAGGTTTCATAGGGGCCAGCTGACTCAGCCAAGAGCTGCCGAACAGAATTGCTACCATTTTATAGGTGTGAAAACTGAGGTTCAGCAAAGTTCAATGCCTTGGCTAGAGCAGGTTCATGGGCTTTTTCCTAAGATGCACAGGTCTGTAAGAGGGCTCATGAAATTCACCCCTTCCAGGAGAAAACCTCTTGAGGATCTAGGGAAGAGTTTTTTTTTCCTACCAAGAGCCACCAAATCTTACAAACACAGATGACCTGATGACCTGATGGATGGAAAATACTAATGAATTTAGATTGTTTTCAAAGCGACATTAAATTTACTTGATTTTTTTTTTAATTTAGGCATTCACTTGTATTCAGTAAATATAATACTCTAAAATATTTTTAAATTCGGTATAGTTAGATAAATGTGAGAAGAGTGAGCAGAAATTGGGGGAGAAAAGAGAGAGAAGGAAAAATAATATGCATAGAGAAAATAGGGCAAAATATTAAGGAAACATCTAGAAGAAGGGAAGAAGACTCTTGGAACACTCAACAGGTTATTTGGACTATATAACTCAAAGGGAGTAACCTCTTGTCAAGATGCCATGAAACTAGTATTTTTCTTTTTAAAAGTTTAGACTCCATTTCAGACAGGTCACTGAGCTCACCCTTCTATTTTGTCAGCATTAACTGGGCATGCTATTATGCACAGGACACCATGTGGGACTCTGGGGGGGTCTCCCTGGGGTCAATGGGGGGAGAGGAAAATGGAGTAGTCCCAGGAAATGGGGAGTTGAGAGGGGCAGGACTGGCACAGAGGAGGACCCCAGCCCAGCCTGGTGAGGGTGTAGAGGCACCCCCAGGAATAAGCACCCACTGAGCTGAGTCCTGGTGAGAAGACAGGGGTGGGGCAGAGGATGTTCCGCCAAGAGCAGATGGCAAGAGCAAGGGTGCGGGTTCCAGGGTCAGAGATCACAGCTTCCAGAGTCCCTTCCCCTTTTGGAGTATACTGCTGAAAGAAAGGATGTGGCAGTTGTCCCCTGGTCCTTAGAAATTCTACTACAGACATCCCTTTTCCCACCCCCAGCTGCTGACTAGAGCAGGAAGCCAGACAATTCTGCTCTTCTTCCTGGCAACCAGACTTCAGCCTGTCTCACCTTCCTCAGTCTTGTTCATCCCCAGCCCAGGGCTGGAGCTGGGTTAGTGCCCTGGACCCTTAAACACAGCTCTGGGAATGCCTGAGCCTCTGCTCCCTCCACAATCAGGCCTCTCCCTCATGCTTGGCTTGGTCCTAAATTTCCCCTTGAGCAGCAGCCTCATCCTCCCTACCTCCCAAGATTTAGAAAGAGTGACCCCAAGGCAGGGCTCAGGGCCCAGCCTTATGGGGTCACAGACTCAGGGGGCCAAATGGCAAGTACTTCCCTTCTTGGAGAGCTCCCCTATGGATGGGGGGTGCTCCACGCCTACCTCATCCAAGCTCTTGCCCACTGCTGATGGCAGAGGTGGCTTATAGCAGGGAAGCCTCCCCTCCGGGAGCAGGGAGAAGACACCTGAAGCTGGACAGGGCTTTATCTGGGCGCCGATGGCTGCTGAATAATGAATTCTGACTCAGCCTGCACTCCCAGGCTGCACACTGGTGCACACCGCGGGCCCGCACACACACACACACACACACACACACACACACACACACACACACTAACATAGATCCACACACGCTGGGCTGACAGCATGGAGGGGCGGAGGCTAGCAGGGCTGAGAGGCTCTGTGAGTCGCTGAAGGAGCAGCTCAGCTCGGTTGCCTTGGTCTCTGTGGGCAGCATCAGAGGGGGCTCAGGAGGAGGCGAAAGAGGAGAGGAGGGAGGCGTGTGAGTCGCGCTGCCAGCCAGCTTCTTACCGTTGCTCCTGCTGGCAGTGCCAGGCTCTCCACACCAGCATGGCCCTGCTCGTCCACCTCAAGACAGTCTCGGAGCTGCGAGGCAGGGGCGATCGCATCGCCAAAGTGACTTTTCGAGGTAGGGAAGCCCCTGTCTTCAAGAGACCCTAGCTCTGAGAGCTGAGCCAGCCCATACTCTGGAGGCTGCCGGGGACAGGACAGAGCTGGGAGGAGGGATGGAAAAAGTTCTAGCAGGGACTGGTGCAGGGAGGCTTTTCACAGGTAGCCATTGGCCCTGCCTGACTGGCTATTGTGATTTCTGGAAAGTCAGGGTCTCCGTGTTTCCATGTCTGCCTTTGCTTGCACTTGCCAACGTGCCAGTGCCTGGCAGGATGCAGAGCCCTCTGCCTGGGGAGGCAGAAGTGAGGACCTCACCCCGGGGCTCAAGGAGGGGGGACTGAGGGCCCAGCCCTGGGGAGCCATCCTTAGCCCTCTCCTCCTCTTTCTCCATCTCTTGCAGGTTGGTTTCCTTGGGCACAGGGTGGGGGTGGGGTCTGGAGCCTGGAAGATTCGGGATGACTGGTAGAGTCATCTGGGTCCCAGCATAATGGGGACTCTGTTGGCTTCTCTTAGACCCACTCATGGGCAGGAACCCTGTGAACTCTCTGGCCTCTCCTATCCTTTCTTCTCACTCATGTATTCAGCAACTGTTTATCATGATCTGCTGTGTCTAAGATGAGGCTAGAAACTAAAGCTGAGTGTGACCCAGCCCTGGCCTGGCTTCAAGGTGCCCACATCTGGTTGGGGCAGGAAGACCAGTGGGCAGACAAGTAGGACAGGTGTGTAATACTGACAGGATCCAGATGAGTACAGCATGCACACTATAGAAGGGGCACCCTAGACCAGGTTGGGGAACTGTGGTCCAGGAAGACTTCCAGGAGGAAGCAACACTCAGTTGGAACCTGAGCGAGCAAGGTGAGGAGGTGAGGACTGAGCAGGTAGAGGGAATCAGCAGAAGCTCCATGAGGCTGGAGCCCAGAGAGGGTACAGGAGCTGGGGCCAGAGAGCCAGGCAGAGCCAAGAGGCAAGGCTGGACTTCACCCCCAAGACAGTGAGAGCCCCTGGGAATTTTAAGAGCGGGAAGACAGGGCCAAACTTACTCTGCTTTTCACCCGCCTCTCCCTCTTCCCCGGCACTGCCTAACGCTGTGGGCCAGGGGATCTTGAGCAGCCTTTGACCTAAAGCCAGGGGGCTACTCACTAGACATGGCCCCTTCTCCCCAGAGGGGGGTCTGAGAATGGGGGTGGAGGTGAGGTCATGAAGAAGCAGCTGAGAGAACCCCACCATACCAAAGAACAAAGCGAGCCTCGGGCCCAAGCTGGACACAACATCTGCACCTATCGGGAGGGAGAGGTGAGACCATGGGCAGCCATTTCCACAACACTCCAGCAGAGT